CCTGTATAATGGTAGGGGAAACACTGGGTACTGATCAGGCTCTCGCAGAGATGATGCCATATATGGAGCCTAAATACGGATGAATTAGTAGTGTCCTAATCACCCTGTTACAAAAATGCATATAGAACATGAATATTTTAATATCTGACCCTCAAATTCAAAACACAATTAAACTCTGTTTCTTTTGATTAACTTCAAATGAAAACCTGTCCAGCATTGATCTGCCAAGTCTTCAGAAAATTGCAGAGTCTGCCATGTGATGATTCATCAGGTGGTCACAAATACTTCATTTTTTCTACTAGGTAAAAGAAATCAAACCACATAGRCAATCACAAGATAAATCACAATAGTTTGGGTTTTTTTAGTAGTGGGCAATAATATGTTCCTGGAAAATAGATTTGTAGTCAGATTTTTGTTTGTTTTTATAAGTTTTAGATGTCAAACTAAAGAAACCAACAAATGCCATGGGTCAAAAAAAGAAAAAAAAGTCAAAGGAATCAGGTTTATTTATTTATTTTATTATTTTTATTTTATCTGGTTTAGGAAACCCTGCACACAGTTTTATATTTAACTCAAATTTAAATATTGTTTTGTTTTGTTTGTTTGTTTTTAGTGTGGAGCCCTCCCAGAAAGAAACAAGGCTGGAAGTGAAATGAGAGTTTAGGGACTGCCCAGCTATAATTTGCAATAATATCAACAGAATTGTCTGTTTTTATCTAGATCACATCAGGCATTCATGTCTCCTGTAAACATTTCAATTCTAGWGTTACTTTATTAACATCAATCTTGACTTCTTTTGATTAAAATTAGGTTCTAGTGTACTCAGTGCACATCTGACTCCATKTTTTTAAGTCTTTGATACTAAAGGTAAGAATTTGGTTTTGTTTTTCAATGATTATGAACCCAAACCGAAAGGTACTTGTTAGTAAAACCATATGCATGATCCCCTAAACTGGGAGAAAATTTTATTTGACTTATTTCCACCCATGCCATCTGGCAAACAATAACTCTTTAGTTAAATGAGTTGTCTCTTTAACCTCTTGAGCCCCATGCCCCCGGCATTGGGGGCAAAAAAGCTTTTTCTGTTTTCTATTTCTTTTAACTTCTTTTAACTTCAGATCTGTCAGTTGAACCTGGACATGTTTGGTATCAAAAGAAACCTAAGAATCTTGGCTAAAAGCTCATGGAAACTATTTTTATATTCATCAAACACAGTTCAAACGTCAAGCAGTTGAATCAGAAAGTAAACAAACTGTACAAAATGGCATCATTGCAAATCTGTAAATACATTCAAGCAAATCCGTAAAGGAGAATTTTTTGGCATTATTTTTTAAAGCAAGTGAAAGTAGATACTTAAATATGTTGTCAAGTGTGTTGAAAGTTTTTTTTTCTCACTTGATTTTGAGTAAATATGATAAACTAAAGTCACATTCAATTCCTCATTATTTTATAT